CTCCCCAATAAAGTCGTGTTCTTCCCAAGAATTCATAAGATAGAAAAAAGTATCATAACGAAATGCATTAGTGTTATCGGCATATATGTATATTACCTCAGCTAGTCAGCTCTCCCCGCGATCATTCCCTCCACACGCTCCTAATAAAGCCGTAAAAAAAAAAATATATATTTTTTTTTTTTCTATTCGTCCGGCTATTTCTCTGTCTGTGATAAACGCGAGGCAGGCCTCCTCCCCTCCAAGGCCCGCACGGAACAGTAAAATGAAAATATTTCATAAACCACATTATAACTGCCGGGCCCTCGTTGTGAACCCAGTAAATAACGGCATTCGGCGTCCCGCAACCGCCAGACTCCCAGTTATGCAGGGCGGTAGTGCGTGGACAGGACTCCGGTAAAAAAAAAAAAAAAACGCGCCCGCTACGTTCCAACGTGTCCCCGTGGGGAGAAAAAAACAAACGAATAAAAAACAGAGAATACAGGCCGGTCACTCATTGATGTGGCCTCATCCGAGAGCACGTTCCTTCCACAACTTCATATTAACAATAATTAACAATTGGAATATTCTGCCATTCGTCTCCGCTCCACACGTGTGGCGAAAATGCGGAACACATGGAGAGAATTTCATGGCCTTCTCTCACGGAAACTCGGCGGCCCATCACCACAGCTCAAACAGGCACCACCACCACTGCGGCAATGGCAGCAAGGACGGTCAAAATGAAGTGCCCCAAAGCGGCTGTTGCTCTGGCATCACTGCCGTCTGTGGGGATGAGTAAAACACGACTGCTGCCGTTGGCGGCGATGGTGCACACTTCCTCGTACTTGGGACAAATTATTTTGCCGCCTCCCCTGAAGTACCTCGATTTGGGTGTGATGGATTGACCCGCGGGACAAGACTCAAAACTTTTGCCGCCAAGGTACTTCAGAAGCACTTCATTACGACGGCATAAAACCTGCGCACACACCGCAACGACGTTGGCTTGCCATTTGCCACCAACAGCCGTCTTTGCCTCGAGCGAGTCCCCATCGAGGCACCACGACCCAATCCCCAGGAGGGATCCGGGCGGGTCGCCGCTTCCTTCCAAGGCGCAAACCGCCCCCAATGGAGTTTCATTTACCAAAGCGGGGAAAAAAACTGGGCAAGTTTCCGGTGGCTCCGCAAAGCGATCACCGACACTTACAAAACATGGTCCAATGGTCTGGCGATCAGACGAACAGCGTAATGACATGTCTTCCTCATTGCAGAACATACCGGGGTAAGTGACGGGGCTTTCCGCTGAGCACTGCTTGTTGAGAAAATCGCAGCCGGCGTTCTTGCCCCAATCCATCGGTTCCCCCATCCCCGGCACAGTCTTGTAGTAGCCGAGGCCCTCGAGCGTTTTCATCGTCAGCTCAGTGTAGCGGCCGGCAAAATGTTCACCAAGAGGGCACATTATCTCGTCCTTCGCGTTGCGCACCGACCAGTGACTCTTCGGCAGACCATCGGGCCCCATCTGCAGCTCCATGCCCTTTATACTGCCACACCTGTAGTGCATCTTCGCCTCCTCCAGCGTAGCAGTGTATTTCACCACCGCCACAGGGGTGGGGCTGCCGCGCACGCCGTCGACTGCCAGCAGCATGTTGCGCCTCGTCATTTCTCGCACGCTGAACCCGAGGGCATGGGTAATGAAATGCGCAGCTGCGCGAGAAGCGTGCATGTTATACTCAACAAGACTAGGCGTGAACTGCATGGCAGCAGCCACGGGGCGAAGGTCGTGCCAAGCAGCACACGAAACGGCCCACACTTCTGAACCCGTTCCTGCAGCCACGTAGAGAACCATGTCCGCACCCAAAATACCAACCCTTCTGTGACTGGGAGGTACGGTGAAGTACTGGCAGCGGCTTCTCTCGCCAAATCCGGGCATTACCCACAGGACGTTTATGCGCTGAACAAGTAGACGTTCAGCGTGCAAATTGACAGCCACAGGGATGATTTCATCCAACAAGGTCTTTTTCCTCTCCTCGGTCAAAATGTCATCAGCGGCGCACTCCCTATCACGGCCGGTAAAGTCCGGTTTCGTCTCCCCCACTTTGGTGCAGTGCTTCGTCTCGTCCTCCAGATCCTTCACGGAAACCATGATACGAAGCGACTCCCACCCGTTGTTCGCATCTTCTGCCGCGACGGTGTACGCCTGCACGGCACCCTGTCCCCTGCGTGGCACCTCGCGCGCCACCGCAGTCGGCAGCGGGCCGCTCCTCCTCATCATTGCGTCAAACCCACAGCGGTATTGTGTGGCGGGAGCGGCGGCAATACATCCACTGGCGCAGTATATCAGCAGCAACACCACCAGTGGGACAACCGACGCGGCGTGGCGTGGCTGGCGCATGGTTCGAGTAAATTGCATTTCTTGTTTCGTGTGAGCAGCAGCAGCAGTGCAGCCTGGCTGTGGGAGGAGAGAGGCAAAGAAAAAAGAGGGAGGAGAAAAGGGAAACAGTTTATTGCCAGTGATGCGTCAGGATGTGGCACAAACAGTGGAGTAACAGGAGACCACAGAGGCAGCCACACACACCGCGTGCGCATCGACTCCATCAAAGGGAAAAACCGTCAATCCGTCGTCGAGGAAACGTCCATCACCGTCACACGCATTATTCATCGGCCGCAACGCACCCTGCACGCGGAGTCTTTGGTCCTTTCTCCTCGTGGTGGTGCAATATTTGTGTGACCGGCCACGCAACAGCCACCACTTGCACAGCGCTCTCCATTTCTATCCCAACAGCTCATAGGGGTGACGCCACCGCACGGCAACCTCATTACGATGGTCAGCCCTGAAGCGGGATGCAAAGAGTCATGCGGACGGATCTTTTTCCACTGCTCTCCCTTCGGGGTACTCAATAAAAAGCGTGACGGCGGTGCGATCATTGTGACCGTTTTATTCGCACTTCCACTGACCGAGGAAGTTACTGTGAGCTCACCGCGTGGAGGTCACCGTGTCCGCCGCTGATCTCTCCACCGGCCCAAGACCACGCCGCCGTTCCAACGCGGCGGATCGGAGCGTCGCCAAAGACAACCACAAGCGCCAACACACCGAGTCCAATGGTACCCGCTGCGACATTCCAAAGCGCGCTGGGGGTTCCTCCAGCAGTGCAATGGCCGCACACATTTGTGCGAAATGATATGTGTGTGTGCATGTGCACGTGCCTTTAAGTTTGTCACCGCTTATACATGCAGAGCAGCTGTGCGGCAAAAGGGAATCCAAAGAAAGCGACGGCAGAGAGAGGCGGATAGCACACACACAAATTACTCATATCATCATACGCACATGCAGCCCGCGGAATGGGTGCGCTCAAGCAAAACACACACACACAGAGAGAGAGTGTGAAAGACGAGTGTGTGTGCGGGCGGTGCACGGCTCTCTCTCCCTCACTCTCACACGGCCACCACCGCAGCAGCAGCCGCACACGCAACAAGAAGAAGAAGCAAAAGAGGGGAGGTGGTGTGGGAAACTGTGGTGCTGCCGTCACTGTCGCTAGGTGTCGTCGTACTACTTTGCACAGCGACGGATTCAACTGTTGTTGAGTCTTCATTCCCAGCTGTACTCTCACGGTTCTGCTCTTCATCTTTCAGTGGGACACCAGGCGTTTTTGCATTTGGAGGTCTTTTATGTGCCGTTGTTATCCGAACTGTCGGTGGTTCCACTACCACTAGGAAATGAAGACTGAGCTGTTTGGTTCTGGCTGCTGCCTGAAGATGTATTCTGCGTGGCTTGTTTCGGGTGCGGCTACTCTCCAGGATTTATCCTCTTGTGATTCAGACATATTTATTGGATCTTGTGGTGGTGCTGGTGCTCCGTCCATGCCTTTCCGTGCCTCTGTCACCTTCAGTCCCGTTTGTTCTGTTCTTTCGTCCTTGTCGTAGAACTTTTTGCTTTTCAATTCCACGCTGTGTTGATGCGATCTTTCCGCCGCTGCGTCACCTCTGGGCACATGACTGCATCCACCCGAGGCTGCTTGGACTGTGCTGCAGCGCTCGGCCTCTGGGTGATTCCTTTGCCCTGCTTCACTGCGACCGTCATCGGAATGCGGCTGGTGGCCAGCAGCACACGCTGGGCTGTGAATTTGGGCGTCAACACCACCATCCACCTTAAAAGAAAGAGAAAGATGAGGTGACATTCCGACATTCTTCGTGCCAGCAGCCCTTGAATATTTCGCTGTTGGGCTGCCAACCGACACCCCCATATCCTTCGAGTCGCCAGGCTCTCTGTAAGCTTCGTTGTCTTCCTTCGGCTTTTCGTCCGTCAGCGCATCTGCAATAAAGTCATTCAACGTATTTAACTACGTTATTTTATAATCGATGTTTCACAGCATTCCCCCTTAAGCTCATCTTTGTTCTTATTCGCCAGTGAATTCAAAGCATCCACATATGACTTACCGCCGAAGTCATCCTCCAAACATTCCTCACCACAACCACCGCCGGCAGCGCACCGCAGCACGCAGAGGGCACACACCAGCAGCACACGGCCGGTCATCATCATCGCCATCACTCCTGTCACTTGCGTGTAGCCTTCAGCACAAAATAACAACACGTCAACAAAGAGGAAAGCAAAAAGATAGACACGGCCGCTACACCACGCACAGCCACCGCACAGCAACAAATGGCAGCAGCCCAGCAGCAGCAGCAGCGCACACACCACGAGACAGATGGAAACAGCACGATTGCAGAGCTCGCACACCGCCCCGCAAACCGGAAGTTTAAAAAGCAATATGAAACAAGAATTAAAAAACAGAAATTAAAAAAGAGAAAAGAAAAACTTACCAGGGCTCCATTGCGCATGCTTATGAGTGTGTCCGCGATGCGTTCAACGTGGCGGATGCGGGGCACAACGCGGAGCACACAGCAGGGCACCAGAAGCAAGTGAAGCAAAAACACAATCATTATTTTCTCTTATTTAGTACAGTGAACCACAACACACGCGCACAAATCCCGCGGTTGAGTGCTGGCACGCACAGCCCGCACACACCTCTTCAGCGCAGAGTGGTGTACGCCAGCGCGGATACGGCGAGCACCAGCGGGGCACACACCCACGCAGAGCTGCTGAGGCTGCCGTCCATTTCGCGAAGACGTGACGGCGCACGGGTGGTCGACACAGCTGGCGCCTCTGTAGTCGTAGTACTTGGTGCCTCTGGCGCAGTGGTGGTAGACGTGGTTGGTGCCTGTGTTGTAGTGGTGGTCGTGGTCGTTGGTGGCCGTGTTGTGGTCGTCGTGGTCGTAGTCGGTGGTTTTGTTGTGGTCGTCGTCGTGGTCGTATTGGAAGACCCTTCAGGCACAGGCTGAGCATCTGCCACGCACACGGACGAGCAGCAGCACAGGGCGAGCACCAACAGGGCGCACAGCAGACGGCACGTCGTCATCATCGTGAGTGTGGTCGTTCAGTGGTGTGAAGCTGATCTGCACAGTGAGGGAAATGGAGAGCAACAGGGGAGACGAGAGGTGCAGCAGACACACACAGAGGGCATACCACATGAGGAGAGGGCAGCAGCCAGGCATGCACCGTACGCCGCACACCACGCACGACACACACTCCAATCCACGGCAACAGGCACGCACACAGCCCTGCCGCAACACCAACACACAGATGGAAGAGGGAGAAGCAAACAGGAGCGGCACACAAGGCTCCACCGCATGTACATGCGGCGAGAGCGGTCCGTCGTGTCGGCACCCCTCACGGAGGGTACGCACACACACAAGAGGAGGTGCAGCGCACACAGCAACACAAAAGCAAAGTAACATTAAAAAAGGAGAGATCCCCGCACACCACGCGGATTGTTGGTCCACGGGAAGTGCAGCCAATAATCATCACAAAGCAGCTTGTTATCCTGTTTTGGTTGTATGCTGCTACAATAACGAGTGAGTAGCGCAAGGGCCGTCCGTACAAAAGTGGCAAGTATTCCGTCGCAAACGGGCCGTCGTGCGGGCTGGGGCAGTCACAAACAGTCGCAGTCCAGATTCCCAACGACGAGGGCATTCCCGCAGTGGATGAGGCGGAGTCTCCCGTGGCCCGTCGGGGATCAGCAGCCCGTGGCGTCTGTGATGAGGCGGTGGCGGAAGCGCCTGGTCCATCTCGAGTTCCCGCGGTTGTGATTCCTGCGTGTCTTGCCTGCTGGCATGCTTGGCGAATTCGGTGGCAACCTGTGCGCGAGGCACCTGTTAAGAAGACGGTGGCGCCATTGTGGCATCCGCATGGGAGGCCCTCGCAAACTATTATAACGCCAGGCTGAGCACGTCGGGCATGTGTCCTCATACTGTGGACGGACAAGTGCACTCTGCTGCAGGTTGGGCAGGAGGACGTCAATCCGCCGCTCGCCGGTCGACAAGGAGTCGCGGTGCTCACGTCGGGAAGAGGTTCCGGCAGAGGCGGGCCATTCTCCTCAGTGTGAGAGCGGCACCACCGACACAGATGCTACTTGTTATCCGCAGGGCGCGTGCAGGCCTGTCGAAGAGTGGGGAGGCGTCGCATCGCGCCTGTGCGCAGTGCCGCCACTCGGGGACCGATGTCCGGGTCAACACCAGGAACAGAGTCCTCGCCACACCGACAGGCGCCTGTCACGCGGTGTGCGCGCCTTCCTTTTCCTCCTGGGCATCCTTCCATTATAACCTCTTGACGGCGGTAGGGAAGTCCACGTGCCAGGCATTGACGCAGTCCTGCGAGAGGAATCGTGCAATCGTGGCTTGCTTGTCAGCGGCCTCACTGCGTGGAATACCGCAGTGTGATGGGAAAATATAAAATCCACAGGTGACCTCGCCTCACCAAGGAAAGCAGCATAATCAAAATTTACTCAGTAACGCGGTCTCGCACGGTCGGTGGGCAACGCGGGGTGCCTCAATTGCCGAGAGGGAGTCCGTTTCCTCCAGCATTCGCGTGGGCGATTGGGATGTTTCCAGACGAGGAAGTATGAGATGTCTAAAAACATTTTCGATCGCAAGGCAGTCTGCCCTATATGAGCATGCGAGGCTGCCAGCTGCTGCACGATGTACCTCCACAGGGAGATCATTTGTCGTGGTGGAGTCATATAATAGCGCAGCGGATCGAGATGCGAGCGCAGCGAGATATGAGGGACCGTCCGTCCACAATTCAAAATCACAATCCCCCAAAGAGGAGTGAGTAGAATAAAAAGCCGTGCGCCTGACATCGTCAGAGGCGTCTTCGGCAAACAGTCGCTGATAAAATCTCACTTTGTTGCAGATCACAGTGTCCCAGGGAAAAATTCGATGTTGGGCAAGAGGCGCGCGAATGTGGTTGTGGGGTATCCCAATAATGTCACAGAAGCGTAGCAATCCATTAATAACAGCATCTTTCGGAAGCGGATTGATGTCGCCGCTTTCCCATGCATGGACGGCGGCATAGGTTGCGAGTAGATAAGGGAACGCAAATCCTCGTGATCATGGAGGCGTATATAGCGTTCGTACTGTGTGAGTGCACGACGCCAGAGTACCTTCCGGAGCGGAAGAATATTGGCTTCCAAATAGACCGATGTATTATCTGTAGATGCGCTCAGGCCAAGAATGTTTTGCTACCGTCGCGGTACCGTACTTCCATATCATGGAGGTGAGTGGGGGCGAGTCACGGGACAATTGCGTCGCCATTATGAAATAGCACACTATGAACGTGTCCAATCAAAAAGGATCGCATGGTGAGATGGGACACGCCCACCTGTGCGACCAGACGCAGCTGATAGCGGCGTGGCATGGTCCTCTTTGCAGCGGTGGAAGCGTGCGTAATCAAAATTAGGAAGTCGATCAATCGTGTTGCCCAGCAAGCGCACTGGGCGTGACTGAATACGCAGGTTCCCGCTAACAAGATGGAGATCGACCATGTCCTCGTCAGACCGTGTGTGTGTGAAGCGATGTGGAATAGAGCAGCTTCGCTCTTAGCGACGTTGATTTTTAGGCTGTGCTCGGCAGCCCATGTGGCCACAAAAGACAAGAGCGGTCGCATTGCCGCAGCACAGGCATGGATGTCCGCACCTGAGGCAACAAGTGTGTGTTCGTCAGCGTACATGAGTGCGGAGGCAGAATAGATGCTGCCCAGGCGGTGCAGCAGATCATCCACACAGTAGAGGGAGAGTTGGGGTCCCGGGACGCTGCCTTGCGGTGCTCCAGCTGAGGCGAGTTGTTTCCGGGAGTGCTGTTCACGAGTGCATACCCTAACATAGCGGCCCCGCAGGTAGTTGTGCAGCCAGCGTTTGGTTCGAGGCCAAGGCGCGGAAGTCTGTCAAGCATGCAGAATAAATTCCCATGGTCAGTGGTGTCGAACGCAGTCGGAAAATCAATCGAGACCACGAGCGACGGCGACGAGGGCGTCGTGTGGGGGCGTCGTCTCCAGGGCGCTCATGCTCCACAATGCCAAACTCATTCAGTCCACGAGTAATTTGTCGATAACAAGTGCCACCACGTCCGATGTAGAACGCGGAGGTGCTAATCCGAAGTTGACGTGGGTGGTGCGGCAATAACGCTGACAGACGGCGGTGAATCATTCCTTCGGTTAACTTTGGTAAAACAGAGAGCAGCGTGACAGGTCTGTAACTCTCTGGGCGGTATGGATCCTTCCCAGGCTTGGGGGTACAAATAGCGTCTCCCATTTTCCAGGAGCCAGGCAGGCTACCGTTTGCAAAGGAGTTGTGGATCATCGTCCTAGGAGTGTGCCATGCGCAACGGGCCCGTGACGGTGCAGGAATTCATCCAACATGTCGCCGGGGCCAGGGGCTGAGCCAAGCAAAGAGTCACAGATGGTCACGTCAATTACATACGGTGGGAAAGGCCGATCCATTTCCCAGCCACCAGGAACCAAAGGAGTGCAGCAAGCAGCAGCAGTATAAGGCGGTATGGCACGTGAAACCGCACAAAATGACGGACAAGCAGGTTTGCCTGTTGCCGAGGCAGGGCGCAAACGCGGCCAAGTTCAGTGCGGAGCACAACCGATTCCAAAGGATGAGGATGAGGGTGCGGCGCCGCCACGCCGTGAAGATATCGCCACCTCGGGCTGGGTGAGGCTCCAAGTTTTTCTCGCGGGCTTCCAGAAGTGCAGCGGAGCAACGGCGTAAGGCTTGATTTCGTTCCTCCCTTTTTTCGGGTACATTCGGCTCAAAGTAGGCTGTCTCCAGGTGAGGCAATGTGTGCTTCGTGTGCTGCTTCGGCGGCGGACTCGGCTTGTTCCATTTCGTGGGTCCATATCTTTTTGGAGCTGTCACGGCTGCCGCGCGGGATATGGTGCTCAGCTGCTCGTAAGATGCCTCCGCGAAGATCCAACCATGTGGACGCGGTGGCAAGGAGGGATTCACACAACGATGAAAAAGCAGGCCAATCCGCTTTACGCAGGGCAAAGATGGCCTTCTTCCGTCAAGGCAGCGTGTTGGCTAGTCCTGGAGTGCCATCGTCCATCCCCACCAAGTAAGATATTCAGCAGTGGTCCGAGTCCATGTAAGGGGCGAATGTCCAGTGGGAGATGCGTAGGGCGCAATACGCAGTCACGTCGGGGGACGGGGCATTACGATGTGTGATCCGTGTTGCCTGTGTCGGGTAATTTGCCAGCCCAAAATACATATCAATTAGAACAGCGGCGAAATTATCGCCTCCAGTCGTTGTTGGTATATATGAATGTCCCAGAGCTCATGATGTCAATTCATGTCACCCGCGATAATCTCTTCGGGCACAAGCGACAAACGATAATGATAAATGCGGATTATTGACCAATTGCTGTGGGAGGGTTGTAGAGATTCACCACGCAAATGCTGGAACAGCCCAGTGGAAATACACGGACAGCAATGGTCTCCAGGAGGTCAGTGCCAGGGAGCGACAGGCGCTCGCACGGTAGAGAGTGGCGCACCAGAATGGCAACGCCACCACCGCGCCCAGTGAGGCCCGAAGGCAGTCATTATGGCCACATAATTTCGTCGCAACTTCACTGCGGTTATTTAGTTCCTGCAGAAGAACGGTGTCAGGTGGACGCTGCTCCAATCGCGCCGCAAATGCAATCTTTTTCACGGACGAGAGGCCTGCAATGTTAAGCTGCCAAATATTGATGAAGCCATCCTCCCCGGGCCAGGGTTCTTGTGGAGGTCACC